AAGTAGATGGATTACAAATGAGTCTTATAAATTTGATAAGTGAATAAACAATTTGGTTGGTAAATGAAGCTTGCAAATGAAACCGGTGGCCAAAACACACTAAAATTTAAAGGAGATTCAACTGGAAGTAATAGCTTGCTGGGTCTGAATGTGCTCTACCAACATTCACCCTGAAACTTAAACTCTACTGTAATAGTTTTTAGAGGTTGGGCCTTTAAGAAGTGATCTGTAATTATACATTCTCAGCCCCTTTTGCTACACAGTACTGCTTTTTCTACCGTGGATACAGCAGTTTTTGCCTCTTTTGTTATGTGAGGGCACAGTGACAAAGCACCATCTTGGATACAAAGAACAGCTTGTTCCATACACTAAATCCACTAGCACCTTGCTCACATACTTGCTAACCTCCAGGACTGTAAAAAAAAAATATTTTTTTTACAAGTTAATCCAATTCAGATTTTTTTTCTTTTAACATACACTAGCTCCAAACAGACAAAGACAATGCTCCAATTGAAGCACTCTTTTATTCTGGATTAAGTTTATATAGCCTGATCCTTTTGAAGACAGAAAGGTCAGAATTCACATAATACTAAAAGATTATTGGTCCACTTACTGGTTTTTACCTTCAACATCGCGTTCTACATAAAACTTTATATAAAATCAAAGGAAAACATTACAGATAAATATTGTCTATTTTTGTGAACCTGTTCATAACTTCTTAAAATTTTTTTAAATCCCCAAGTCAAGGGTATTGATTACTAGCTAAGAGTACTGAAAAAGAAAATGAAGAGCAACTCTCAATGAAAGTGAACAATCCCCTGGTCACGAGGAAATATATTAAAAACATGAAAATAACATTTAGCTCATTTTCATCCTCTTCTGCTTCTTCAGTCAAAGAGTCTGAGTCGAGAGGAAAAGTCATCTAATTTATGTCTAACTTTTATCTTGAAATATGTTTCTTCTCATTATTATTTTGAGTAGAAATGAAAAAAATCACAAAGCCTGCCTTCACGTTTGCTTTGCTTTGAGAAGCAAAACTAAGTGATGGCCTGTGAATGGATGAGCTTTATAAGCTCTGAGTCACAGATGCTCACAGGACATATGTATACAAAGAAGCAGGGCATGGATCTTCAAGGATCAACTCAGAAACCATCCTGGAACCCCTGACAGCCATAAAAACTTTTCTTCTCTGGACATAATTATTCGAATCACTTCTAAGGTGTTTCCAATTCTGGATTACTCTTAATTTCTAGACTTCTATATAATTTCCTATGTAATTTTTCCAGATCTCATCAGACCCAACTATATTGAAATATGGATCTATTTTTAAGCCTTGTGATTCTTTTTTATAAATACAAAAATTATTTCCTATGACAAGAAAAAATTTACATATAATAATGAATGAGTAGTGGTCATCTTTGCCATCTCAAATTTTCTTTGTTTTCATTTTTGTTTTTCATCTTGAAACCATATTTGGAAGGAGTTTATTTTCCAATGAGATGAATAAAGTCATAGTTATAAATTCCGTGTATAACTATACTAGATATTTGCATCTCCGTAAAAAATTAACATAAATTAAAATTCTAGAAGTGATTACTCTTTTCAAAGAAAACTTTCGTCAGACTTACTTAGCAGTAAAATGACACAGCACGGATGTCTGTGTGAGAAACTCTATCAGGTTGTGTGTGGTTAGAAGCAGGAAGTCAAGCAGGTCTAGTTGAAATTCCAGAGATATTTTTGGAGAAGCCAGACCGGAATTGGGTACACATTTGCGTTTAGACTTACATTTTCTGCTTCACTGCTATTCAGTGTAGGAAAGGAAAGACATAAAAATATTCTCAATGTATACAACTGCCACAGCAAGTGTTTCCAAACTTATTTTATTTAATAGCTTCCAAAGGATGAAGGAGATTTCAATATCAAGTAATTGTTTTGTCAGAAAATTTGCCTAAAAACTATTTTCAAGATCTTTTTTAGAGAGGTGGATACTCTTTTGGGGTTCAGAAGCTTCCTCAAGATGACATGGAGGCTGGTTAAGTCACCTACATAGAAGTAAATCAAATTTTAGGGCAACATCAACAAAATGACACATCACTTTCACTGTCTATATAAAAAACAAATCAAAGCTATGAATAATTAATGATGAATAACAGTGAACTATACAAAGCATCATTTATAAGTTTATATTTGGCTTTGGGACATAAGGCAATATAGAGAAATTATGTAAAAGTGGCTGGTGTGCATGGTAGTGCATGTGCACACATGCACAGAGAAAAATGTAAGAACACTTCTCTATTTCTGTCTTACTCCTTTCTGAGTGTAACCAACCAAATAAATAATCCCCTATGAAGTAAAGTGAGATTTTTCTTTCTGAAAAAAAAATCTGTAGGTTTTGTTTCTAATGAGATTTCCGTAAATGTTCACAAATTCCTTAAATCTAGAAATGATAGCATAATGAAGTGTATGCTTGGGTAAGAAAATGTCCATCCAAAGTAGAAAAATTGCCAGTTAAAAAGCACAATACCTCAAAAAATATTTTTTCAAGGATAATTTCCACTTAATTGTTAGATTATTTTCCCATAAAAAATTATAAAACATTTTAAAGGAGAACACAGAATACTTAATCTGTTTTAGTCTATGTGGTTTGCAAACAGGGGTTGGACTAAATACTAGTTATTTTTTCAGCTCTAATATTCCATGATTTTAGTCAACATAAGTCACTAAAGTGGTCCCACCTATTCATTCAAATAATAATAGAAAAGTGGCTTAAAATTCTGAAGCCTGACAATATAATAACTCTGTTCATTTGTTGATAACAAAGGCATGTCTAAGGATGGAGTGAGGGGTTGCTGGGAGAGGAGATACAATCCAAGGGTACTGATTAATTTGGGCACTGTTTCAGTATATGGTAGGCCACCAAATAGTCTGCATTTCATTTTTTGCTTTGTTTTGCTTTTATTAAGTACTCCCAAACTCTCAAGCCCCAACACACAGAATTTTGACTTAGCAGTTATGGAGTAAGGGCAGGAATTTAACTTTTCAAGGTATCCTCCCTGTTCTGATTTGTAGGTAAAGATAGGAACAGGCAAGCTGGAGGGGAACTTATGCAGCAGCGTCTGGGCACCATTGTTTACAGAACATTTCCTTGACAGGTCTGCCATTTCAGATCCCAGGGAATCCCTTTTCCAATATTTTCTTCCTTCTATTAGAAAGGTAGATGACAAAAGTGCTATCACTTGGTAACTAGGTTACTTTTCTTTGATAGATTTCATGTGGGAAAGAAAGAAAATCCCTGAAGGAAATAAGAGTTAGAAAAGTATGTCTATAGCCCTTACTATCCAATCCAGTCTCCCCCTCTAGTTTAATTCAGTTTACCTCCTGGAACTTTCCTTACTATGTAAAGCATGAATCTAGTCATCTCTGTGCTACAGTATTGAGCCTTTTAAGGCAGTCAGCTATTTGCAAATGATTTACTCTACCTCAGAGCAGGGTGTAACAAAATGAATCCTCTTAGTGGTTAGAACATCATAAAGAGAAATCTCTTTGAATGCATTTGGCATAAGATTTTCTTGACCTTTTTTGGTAGTAAAAGATGAAACAGAATTAACATCTAAATAATAACAATCGGTTGTGAAAAGAGGCTGTGGTAAATAAACATAGCTGCTTCTAAGATCTTACACATAGAATTTCAAGCACTTCAGCACTCCAGTTCTGCCAGCTCTCAAAACTGCATTCATATATTTACTGTGGGAAAATTGTAGCCAAGGCATACACACACACACACACACACACACACACACACACACACACACACACACACACACACACACTCTTCTGTTTCTTATGCTACTGTGGATGCCAATATTTAAGGCCTTTTTTTAATAGCACATTATAAGAAATATAATTCAATTCTCAATGAAATAGTTTTCCTGATCTTCCTTGTCAATAAAAAAGCGAGCTAGTCTTTTATCATTAATTTTTAGGGCAGAAATTAGAAAAAAGGAAAAAAAATGACTTACCTCTAAGCATGTATAGCTCCAGATAAGGCAGCTAAACTAAAAGCTTACCATAATCTTAACAAAAAGGTCAAATTCAGCATAATTTCATTTTGCATACAATGTAAGGAATATTTGTTACTGAGGTTGACAAAATAAACTAATTATTTAGTCCTGTCATTCATAAGGCAGTCTTATGAAGTTGGCTCTGAGGATCAAGTATACAGGTAAAGCCATTTGAGACTACCAAATGATATAGAAGCATTTATAAATAGTTTATGCTTACTTGAGAATACTGATCTGTTAAATCTGTTGCATTTTTATTTAAAAGAATAAACAAGAAAATCCATGGTGTAAGTCTATCCTCATGTGAATTAAGAAGCTACTTATATGCTATATTTAGAAAACTACTGTTAGATATATGTTTCATTCTTTTTTTAATGTAGTTGTGGGTCAAGAAAGTAGTGAATGAATATATGAACCTCAAATGTTTTAGGTGGATACCTATTAAAAGGTATACAAAATATAAATAGTACTGTATATTTTCAAAACTTTCAAACAAAAACAAAGAATATATAGGTATACAGGTTATAATGTCAAAGTCAACACTAGCACATAAGTGTTTCTTGTCTGAATACATACTAGAATACTTCTTATTACAGCACATGCACCTACAAACACATGGCCATGCACATCACCTTGCTTTCTGCAAACTGCAAGAAAGTTAGAATATACAATATTGTACACTGTTTCAACTTAAATCATAGTGAGAAATTGATGCGAATGACATTAAAAAATGCTGACCTAAAAAGCCAAAAACTACAAAGAGATAATTGTTCTGTAGATTAAAAACACTGAAGACTGATGGAAAGTTAAGATTTAAACGGCTCATCCTAGTGAACCTGAAAGATACAGAAGAGAACAGGACTGGCTGTAAACATTCAGAATGTCTGGTTTGGCAACTGGGACTACAACTTCTGTAATCTACTAAGCCAGACTAGAGATTTAGATCATGTGTGCCTCAGATTGCAGAGAAATATTATAGTTGTATGTAGTCCGCCTCAAAGCAGGGGGTGCTGATGGAGATCTAGATGCCCATCTGGATGGCAGCCTGCGATTTGCAGGTCTAGCAGGTCGGGAAAATCCTTTTCCGTTTGAAGCTTTCATTACCATGGATTCCTACAAAAACGAATGCATGTATCTCACTACATACACATCAGCAATGTAGCTCAACACATTACACATCCCAACAGTGGGATTAAAGAACTGAAAATGAAAGAAAGTATCTAGCATGTGTAGGCTTGATGTTTTAATCAACTTCAGTTTTAATCCAAAATCAATTTTAATATGGTATATGGTTTTTGATATTCTTGAAGATATCTTTACATTGGCAAATCTTGATACAGTTAATGCTTTTGTAGGACTATGAGCTCAAGATTCAAAAGTTCAAGTCAAATAATTTCAATAGGACAGATCTACTGATGTTTCTTTGGGGGATGCTAGAATATTTTGATAGTATTTGAAAATAAGGTAATCAGATAATTATATTAAAATCATTCATTTATATTAGGTAAGTGACACATTTAGAGATCAAAAGTACAAGGCTTTTAAACAAAATACCTTATATATTTATTTTATTTTTTATTTTTTTTGTGGGTCATGGTGCCTGAACTCTGAGCCTGGGTGCTGTCTCTTAGCTCTTCAGCTCAAGGCTAACTTCAAGTGCCAGCTTTTTCTGTTTATGTGGTGCTGAGGAATTGAACCCAGGGCCTTATACATGCAAGGCAAGCACTCTAACACTGAGCCACCTTCCCGGCCTCCCATATATATATATATATATATATATATATATATATATATATATATTTAAACTGGAGATCACTGTGATACTGTCTCATAAACATTTAAAAACTGTACTTAACTCCTTAAAGTCCTTTTCTTTGTTTCATGCTGGATATTGAACCGAAGGACTTACATGTACTAAGCAAATACTCTACCACTGAGCTCTACTCCATGCCCTTACATTTTTCCAAATATAACTTAATTTGAAATTGCTAATAATAGAGGATTTGCTAGCTAATTTGAGAATTAGCTAGAATTCTGATGAGTGAAAAGTTTTATCTTCTCTATCCTTTCATTTTCTTCCTTCCTTCTTTTTATTTTGTGAAAGAAAACCAGCCTTTGACCATGACTATTACAAAGATGACCTTTGGTTCTACCTAGTCTTCTTAACAAAGCTTGCACCCTTTCATTGAGAATGGACAATGCAGTTTTTTCTATTCTAGTCATAGCTAGCAATAACCTGCACTTTTCTTTTTCTCTCTTTAGAGCCAACCAACCCAAAGCAAAGCAAAGTCTATGCATCTATAATAGAGTATCTTGCTTCCAGACCCCCCCAATTATTGCAAAAGAATTATTGCTTGCTAGCTAATGAGAATTTTGGTTGGTTAATGTGTATATTTCTATTTCCTATCTCCAACTGTAGGATTTCACAGTTATTTAAGAGCTCAAACAAAAAAATAGAGAAATGTAAAAGCAGGATGATTCATTGAAATATTGGTAAATAATAACAATATGTCCATTGCAACTACTTGTAATATTATGCACACAAAAAGGAAACATTGTATGACTTCACTTTACAAGTTTCTTTACTTCTTTATAATTTATGAAAATTTTACTCTTTTGTAAATGGACAACAAAGAGAAAGGGTGAGTTTACTTAAATATTTGTGTTTTTTTTTCTGTTCCTTTCTCTTCTGTTCCTTTCCTTCCCTCCTTCTTTCCTTCCTTCCTTTTCTCTCTCTCTCTCTTTCTCTCTTTTCCTCTCTCATTTCACATGCTAAGTATATCTCCATGTGGCCCTGTTTCCACATATGGTCTTTTAGTACCATGGGTAATAAAACTGTGAGAGAGTGTTTAAATGATGTGTTTAGCCAATATTCACATTCTTATGACTAATCCTCTTCTAACATGAATCAAATGCTAAGAATGACTGATCACAGAAAATGTCTGAAAAATGAATGTTATATTTAGAAATATTTATATACTGCAAAAATCAAACTCAAAAAAATAAAATTTTAGAAATCAGCAAATGTACATTCTCAATTTTTTTTCAACCAAGAAAATAAACATATGATCTTCTTAAAACAACTTGAAATATTACTCTGATTGGTTATTAAGTAATACACTAAGTCTAGTCTTTAAAAACTCACTTTAAATTCATCTTGTTGAAATATATTCACAAAAGGTGAAGTTCTGTCTAATTTCTATGTAGATGAATGGACAATTGAACTCAGAGCCATTGCTAATTACTAATACAGGCCTACCAAAACGTATAATTTGAATTTCTTACCTCTGTTACCTTGTTCTCATCTATTCCTTGTTTCACTTGCTGTCCCCCAAGCAAAGCTGTTTTTGGCTGAAATTCTTGCGCCATTGGATGCATTTCTAAATGCTGACTTAATGTGTCATTACCACTGGCATCAGAATTACATCTGATCCAGTTATCCTGGAAACATTTAGAATTTTGACATGCAGGCCTGACTGAGGTCTTATAAGTTTTCAGCAGCTTTTCTACAACACCATAATTTGACCTCGGGTCAGCTGACCTGGGTCGGCCAGATAAATCGCTTGGTCTCCAGTCATGCTCAGGGAACATATTCTGGTTACTGCTATGACTTCCATAATCCTGCATTTGTCTGACCAGGCCTGTTGATTTCTTGGTGGGATTATTGATCATATTTTCCATGGACACAAGTACATGTTCACTGGCTTCCACAGCACCAGTCACATTGTCACTTTTTGTGGTGCTATCACAGGGATGAAGATCCTCAGATGATTTTGAGTTGTTTTGAGTTTGCGGAATTGCATGGCAATTCCGGTCCGTTCTAAACACAGTTCTGTTAAATTCATCAGTCTTTGCTGCCAGCTTTTCATTCCTTGTTGTCCTTTCAAAGCCACAACTGAAGCTTGCAAGTGAGCCACCGCTCTGTGTTATGGAGGAACTACAGTCATTATTTATATGAAGATCAGGGGGAAATTTAGGAAGGTGTTCTGAAATCACCCTTTCTGATGTCAAGTTATTGGGTATATAGCTGTTTTTCTGAAAGCACAAAGGGGAAAGGCTCTTTTGTGTATACATTCCAAAGTCATGTGACCACACAGGAAGTCTGATATCTTCATTACCTGGATGCTTACTATCTACCTTGACCTCTGATGTCAAAATCTTCTCTTCCTCTGGACACAAGGTAGGTTTCCTCATAAGGAATTGAGGATTGGCATTCCTTTCTCCTTCGCCCTTGTGGGTCACCCAGCTGTTGTGCTCTAAACTTGCCTTCAGTCTTGCTTGGGCTTGCTCAGAATAAGAACTGGGAAAATTTCGAGATGTGCTTCTTGGAGGAGGAACTGGTGGGGTTTCATTTCTTAGCAAATCAATTGTACCAATTCCACATTTTTTCATAGGATTGCTTTGGGGCACATGGGTATAGCTCAGATTCTTTCTAATTTTCTGTGTTTCTTTTTCTAAATGGATTGGAAGAACATGCTGGTCATTGTTGATTAGATGCTCTTTCTGAGGCGCACTGATTACATTTGGTATTTCCTGGAGAAAAGAGTCTGACTTCATCCTAAATAATGATCAAAGATGCTACTTTAGTGATAATTTTATTTTGAGATGCACTCTTCAAAGAAATGGCTTAAGCAATCTATTTCTATAATAAGAAAAAAATCCTCTCAGTTTCTCCCAAGGAAACACATTGTCATAGCTTCCTAAAAGTTGCTAACCCCCATTTCCTGGATGGAGAGCAAGAATGTTTTTCTCTCTTTTTCTATTTCTTCCTACCACAAACCTGTTCTACTAAAATAAATCATTACTAAACCATTAAAAAAGATAACTGCCTCTAAAAGAGATAAATACTGATCCCAGTATAACCCATCTTTGTTAACCATATCAAAACTCAAGATTAACCTTAAAAAACATGGCTAAAACTGTTACAGTTATATACTGTTTATGAACTAAGGCGGCACTTCTTGTACCATGTGTATATGTGTACACATTTATATGTTGTTCTGCAAATTACATATGTATTTATTATATATTGGCTAATCATAGAGAAATAAATGAATCAGATATAAAATATTTCAGTTGAATATCAATATGTTATCAAAACACCACCTTTTACAAACTTTTCTCCAGGAAAACTTGAAAAATGCACAAAAAACATATTGTAGAAAGTCTACCTCAACTAAACGCCAAAAAGTAAAGTATTTCTTATAAATTACACAAAGCAGTAGAAGATGTGTATTAAGTGTTATCACACAGTTGGATGCTGGTGGTTCCAGGCTTTAATCTTAGCTTCCCAGGAGACTGAGAGTTAAGGATCTTGGTTTGAACCCAGCCCAGGCAGAATAAAGACTCTGTCTCTAATAAACCAGCAAAAAATAAAGACAAAAACAAAACAACAACAAAAACACAACTGGAATGGAGGTGTGGCACAGGTGGTAAATCATCAGCTGTTAGCTGCAAGTGGGGGTAGCATGAGGGTGAAGATGAACGTAGAAGTGAGGGTAGTCGGGTAAGAATGCAAAGCTCTAAGTTCAAAGCATGGTACCAGCAGGAGAGAAAGAAAAGAGAACACCAAGAAACATGCAGTTAGAATATATCGCTTGTGTCCAACAATAAAAATAAAATAATTTATTTTATAATTCTAACAAACTGTAAAGAGGAAGCAGTTTGGATTCATGAACTAAAACCAGTATTCCTATTGATTTTCTGGAATAAAATAATTACATATGTGCCAGCCTACCTTCTGTGGTTAGACCGCTTCCGAATTTCCTCTTGAAAGCTGCATAACTCTTCACTAACTTTGGCAAGTTCTTCAAGAGCCTTTGTACACATAAGCAATATCATGTTAGCACTTAGAAGTAAATATTTCCTTAGACACAGTTCATAGCCAGTCACATCTTACTTACAGTGTTGAGGGCTCCAGAGCAGCTCTTACTTTCTTTCTCAGAAGTCTTCTGGCCAGGCCAGGCCTCATATTCCTTCTTGTCTGTGGCCAAAGGATCTATAAACCCAACTTTTGGTTTATTGGTTGCTTTTTGTTCCTTACACACTTGATTCTCTTCACTGAGAAAGCTCTGCTCTGTTTTCTTTTCTTTTCCCAGTCCATCCCTGTGATTCACCCCTGTAAAATCAGATTGCTCTGAACTGGGGTCCTTTGGAGCAGATTCCAAGATTTTATCTTGAACAGCCTTTTCATGATCAAGACCAATGACTTTAAATCGTTCATTCATGTTGTTTTTTCTTCGAAGTTTTACTTCCTGACAAAGCTGTAAGAAAAAAAATTAAAACTTTCCCAATTCATTTTAACAAAGTTTTTTAGTACTTAGCAAACCATTTTGAGCTCTCTTGGCCATTTTACTATGCACTCTCCCAGATATTAATGCTTTTGCCTCCAAATGGTTGTCTCTAAACTATGGATTAGTTGGAATATTTTGACAAAACTTAAATACTACTAGTAGTATTTAGTAGTAAATATTCTTTCTTTCTGAATAGAATTTAGGAAAATAGACCTCCCCTATGACCCAGCCATACCACTCCTAAGCATCTACCTTGAGCAACAGGAACCAGCATACAAGGACATATGCACCTCCATGTTCATTGCTGCACTGTTCACAATAGCCAAGACATGGAAACAACCCAGATGCCCCACTACAGATGAATGGATCAAAAATTGTGGTACCTATTTACAATGGAATATTATGCAGCTATTATAAAGAACAAAATAATGGCATTTTCAGGGAAATGGATGGAACTAGAGCATATCATTTTGAGCGAGGTAAGCCAAGATCAGAGAGACAAATGGCACATGATCTCCCTGATATGTTAGGTGTTAAATCCAAAATGCAAGGAGATATGACAAAGTAAACAGGACTCAAGAAACAAATGACATATACTTAGTCATATAGTTGCCAAATGATTCCATGTTCTTGACTTCATATATGGCACATATATGTGCACATCTGAGGGAATCTAGGAGGAGAGCACAGAATCAGAGGGAAATAGGAAAAAATACAACAGAGGGCCCATCAGCTGCACTGGATATTGATGAAGATGAACTAAGCAACTCAATGACAGTGATGGGAGGGAAAGAAAGAGAGGGAAAGAGAGAACAGTTAACACTAAGCAAAAGGAAAGAAACATACATATCACCCAATGCAGAAGTAATAGTTGTATGTCAAAGCTTATAGAATTCACAAACTTATAGACCAAGATAATGATAATTTGCCTTGTGAAGGTTAACATGTGCTTGTGACTTTAACTAAGTATCACTATCCTCCAATACTGTAAAATTTGTGAAATTTATATAATCATTTAATCTCAATAAAAATTATTAAGAAAAAAAATGATGAGCCTTCTCTTGGGAGTTTGTCAATTTTCAAAAGGGACCATCAGATAATTACTAGAACAAGTGCCTACATTTCACAAACACCATCAATATATATACTCCAGGTATTATTAGTCCTACAATAACAGATATTTACCCCAAATCCCAGTTGAAAGAAGTACTACCTGAAGTACTGCCTAAAGGTTGCTGTTGATATTACCTTCTTTCTAAGAAGGTGTAGGGAAAACAAAAAAATGTTTTTGTTTCAATACAATGGGAAAAAGTGCAATTCCTGGGGTGTAGGTTTGCTTTAGTTTTCTGAATATTGAGAAATATGTGGCTGATTACTTCTTTGTTGGTTCCTAAAAAGAGACACACTGCTACATTTTATGTGTGAACCTTCCTTCTGGCTATATATCAATTTATTTTTGTTTTCATATGCTTTCGTATTCTTTTTTTTAATACCAGTAAAATTCTGTTGGGGACTGAAGGTGAGGAATGAATAAACAATTAAAATATAATAATTAGTAGAAAACCATTTATTTTATTTAAGAAAATCTATTATGTGATATTTAGCCCTTATGAATTCTGTCAGAGAAGATAATCAGAAAAGATTGCAACATGGAGAAAAAAATTCTGCAGTCTATCAACTCTAAATAATGTCTCAATAATCCATACTTCCTAACTGGATTATTCCAAGTTTCAAACAATACAAGTATGTACCTCTTTTTTTTTAAAAAAAAATAGCAAGTGTAATAGCTGTCAAAAGTACACAATGCTGGATGCTCTCAGTTGGCAATATTATCAGGCAAAACCACTGAAGTTCGGGCTGGGAAGGTGGCTCAGTAGTAGAGTGCTTGCCTTGCATGCATGAGACCCTGGATTCGATTCCTCAGCACCACAGAAGCAGAAAAAAAGCCAGAAGTGGTGCTGTGGCTCAAGTGGTAGAGCGCTAGCCTTGAGCTGAAGAGCTGAGGGACAGCGCCCAAGCCCAGAGTTCAGGCCCACGACCGGACCCAGAAAAAAAACAAAAAAACAAAAAACCACTGAAGTTCTTTATGTGAACCCCTGGGAGTCTACAATTCTCATTTTTTTCACAATAAAACACAGAACTCAATAATGAATGTCAGAAAAAATACATTCTATTGTGATTATGACATTATACCATTTTTCCAAGTAGTCATTTTTTTCCTTGTCAGTTGTAGGCTATTGCTTTACCACTTTGAGACACAGCTCCATTACTGGTTTTTGAGTGGTTAATTGGAGATAAGAGTCTCATCAGGATTTTTCTGCTGGGGCTGGCTTCGAACCATGATCCTCAGATCTCAACTTCCTGAGTAGTTAGGATTACACAGGCATGAGCTACTGGCACCTGGCTCCAAGTATTGATTTCTTAATTTTAGTTTAAAAATTGTTTTCTCTGTGACCCGTGAACATATTTTGCCCGCACTTTCCTTTTTACTGTAGCTTTGTAGCTTACAAGAATGTACCATATTTGGTGCATCCACATATATATGATGTGTGTTATATAATAAGAGAAAGATAACTATGATAAAGTGAGCCCAGTGCTGGTATTCAGGTATTGAAAAGAACCATCATGAGCATTCTTGGTAAGTACATTATATAAATACATTCCCAGCTAGATAGCTGTATACACAAGCCATAACAGCATTGCATAATTTGCCTCTTTGATATGAAAACTATGTTTTGTTTGCTCCCTTCATTTTCCCCTCTGGCCCCACTCACACATGACAGAATTGGATGGGATCTACAAGGAGATAATGAGGTCATGTAGTCAAAATAATTAAGGATGCATAATTAATCTAGCCAGTTGTTTAGCCATGTAGCTAAAACAGTCTACTGACTGGTTAAATTTGTAATGATTCAATAATTACTCTGGCAACTCTATAGACTCCATATATGGTAAATATTAGCTTCTGAGTATCTAGGATTACAGGCATGGCCCAATGGCTACAAACATTACTTTTAATATTAAGCCTCGCTGTTCAGAAAATAAAATAAAATGATGTATTTTACAGTGAAGTTTCGAGATCTTAATTTTCTTGTAAGGTTGAAAAATAAGTGTAAGTCTGTAAACTACCATTGGTAAAAGTCGTGCTATTTTTTGGTCTAGTAAGTGTTAGTAAGACTTGTATCTCTTCAGGGCATTACAGAATATAAAAATGGTTTCTAATAGAAAATGAACTTCAACAAAGTTTCACTCTGAACTTGAAGTTTAGAATATATTCAAAGCAAATCAACTTATACCTCTTCTATCTTCTTCTGCATGATCTTCCATTGACTTTCCCATTCCTTCCTTTCAGTGTCAAACTGGTCCAGCAATTCCATCTTTTCCTTATGCCAGTTGGCCTCTGTGTTCTCCCATTGCTTATGTAGGTCCATGGCAACTGTGCAAGTATCAGCAAAGAAGTGGGGCTGCTTGTCTCTGCCTTCTCTTAACTGTTTCTTGGAAACTCGGAGTTGTTTTATTTGAAGCAATCTCACTTGCCCTTAAAATAAAGCCTAATATATAAACATAAAACACAGAGTTCCAAATTCACATGCTTCCTGAAAACATGTTTTATCATTTTGTTAAGAATCATTAACATAAACTAGGAAACTGAGCACAGAAGAAGAGATAACAATCACCTGCTTAAGAAGAAACTAACACAGTCAATAAAATAAAGAACTACTACAGTCAGTAAAACTGTAGTGGACAAGATGGTCAAATGCACATATTTGATACAAATATTCCTTTAACAACCTAATCTAAAAATAGATTTTTTGTGAATGTTCAAATATTTAAGGATGAAATTCAAGTGTGTGTTACATCTACTCAAGTGTGGCAGAATTGCTATAATAGAATTATTCTTTTTCTGTAAGATGCTATAAAGTGACTTAAATTCCTGATCCAAGTCAGGATCTCAACTTGTAGTTAGAGATCATGTTTATCCACATATGATAAGTACACCATGTCTGCCTCCAAATTCAGTAGTCAAGACTGATATATCAAGAAGCTAAACCACACCTTAAAAGTGAAATAATTATTCCACTTTATAAAAGCAGATTTAAAAGCATCAAGACCATCCTGAAACATATGTTAAGTTTTGGCTTTCTTTTCTTTCTGGTAAACTATGTATGGTAAACCTGTTAAGGATAACAAAGAATTGAAGAAAAACTTTAGCTCAGTTTTTAAGTAATCTATTACATTAATGACTGAAATAATTAGGTTTCTAACCTTCAGGGTATGTACAGAAACTTCTATAAGTCATTGAACATTCCTGAGATTTACTTTATTACATTAAAACAGAGATATTGGTGGAATTGTTATAAACATTGAATGACATAATGAATGCAAAGTAATGAGATGTTTTAAAAATATATTTCCACATTTTTTGCTTTCAAAGTCTTGCTTCAGCTGGGTGCCAGGGGCTCACACCTGTAATCCTAGTTACTCAGGAAGCTGAGATCTGAGGATTGCAATTTGAAGCCAGCAAAGCCCATGAGACTGTTCTTTCCAATTAACTACCAAAAAAAGCCAAAAGTAGAATTGTGGGTCAAGTGGTACAGTGTTAGCCTTAAGTAAAAACGTTCAAGAACAGCACCCAAGCTCTGAGTTTAAACCACAGGCCTGCTACAAACAAACAAAAAACCTCCTTTCAGTTCAATTGTAAAAAAGTTATATTATCAAAACCATATATCTTTTAGTGACTATAAAATTACATTTAAAATGGATGTGCATTTAAAATAATTATGCCTATAAGAAATATAGGGCTGTAGCTCAGTGGTAGAGCATGAACTTAACATTTGCAAAGCCCTAGGTTCAATCTCTAACACAAAAAAGAAAAAGAAAAAGTGGAAGAAGAAATCTAATTCTCTAGCTTACCAATCCATTTACCATGATACCATAGCTTACGAATAAACACTTAAGATGATTATGTACAAACCACCCAATGGCCAGTATTCTGCAGATATGGCATTGTAGAATTAATTCTACATAACTAGGCAGCAAGCATAATTTCGTATTCACAGAAGATAGGTATTTACTTCAGATCCCCAATGACACACAATCAAGGACATCTTATTTTTTGTCAGACTTTTCTGAACAATTTCTCAATGAATTATAATAGCCTAATAAGGAGGTTAAAATTAGCTGATTACCTATGCTGGGTTATGAGTTCAAAAGCACCTTAATAATATTAGGATCTATATTTTTATCCTTTTCCAACACCATTTGTTAAAGATCCTATGGTAATCTTTTATTTCCTTAGTACTCACAATGTCATGACTAATTCAGCCAAGAAAAAGAGTAATTTCATATGTAGATATGTTCTCCTATCTCACTGTATTCCCATAGCCTAGTTTTAACCACATTTCTATTCTGTCATCTCTTTATTTTGCTACCATTCATTCTAATAAGCCAGTAAACAGAACTATTCGCCACAATAAATGTCAAAGACAACCTTCTGACAAAATTAAAATAGTAAAGAATTTAGTTTTTCTTTATTTTGGCTAATTTAACTTTTACTGATCTTGATTGCCTGGTAATCATTTAGGTTCATCTAACAGCTGTTCACAGGAAATGCAGACTTTGCTTGTTCTGAGGCAGGAAGACTGTTTCTTAGCTATATATAATTAACTGTGAACTGAAACTGTCTGGCTGACTAGAAGTTACTTGCCACTGGAACTTCTTTGTAAATATGGAATGCTTTGTGATATTTAGAGATAGCTGCATTTTAAACCAACAATGCTATAAAAGGGAAGTGAACTAATTACAAGATATCTGGAAAATAAATTCTATGGTAGTGTATGTGTTTTTTTCTAAATTTATTGTAACTTTTAGCAAGGATTTATATAGTATAAAATAAAGCAAAAGTAAATCAAAATAAAAAAAAAGAAACATTTCCTGCTCTTCACACAGGAAACAGGAATTAAAGACTGACATTCCTTGTTTTAGCCTGTCTTTAAGCACTGGAAATGTTGTATACACACACACACACACACACACACACACACAGATATCTCAACATAAAGTTTTCCTACAGTTTTATAGCAAATGGCTCTAATTTTTCCTTCTATTCCTAACTACCCAATCCCACTTCATTTTTTGGCTGTATGAGGGATTGAATTCAATGCCTTGTGCTTGCTGCTCTACTTACTCAAGCTATTCCCTAGTTCTTTGTGTTTTAGTTTGTTTTCTAGGTAGGGACTTGTGCTTGTGCCCAGCCTGTGCTTAGACATTAATCTTCCTACCTTCACTTTCCAAATGGCTAGGATTACAGACATGCACCACCACACCTGGTCCATTCTAAATCTTCCTGAACTACTTCTACACTAATTACAAAGGTGCCATACCCTTTTCTTTCTTTTACTTACCAGAAGGTCATCTAGAAATACTCTAAATCAGTTTTGCTTCTGGGAACAGGGCTAAGTTAGGATGAATAACACTGGTGAAACTTTCAGAAATCTATGCTTATCTGCAAAGAGCCAAGCTCATCACTTACTAGGGAGAAGGGCCAGTCTGTAGAGCTTCTCCTTTCTAGGGCCAGAGCAATTCTAAGTGCCAAGAAATGTAATGATTATGGATGAAAAGTAAGCCTGTGCAGAAAAATTTCTGTAGAGCATTAGTGCCAATTTTTGTGGGAGGATTTAGTATGTTAGTCTTGTCGTAAATATCAAATGTAATACAGCTGAGTCTATTGTTTCCTCCTTGAAAAATAAAGTAGGGAGGGGGCACAGAATGGCAACGTGTAAACACTGGATCACAATGAATGCTTGATGAATGATTATTTCTTGGTTTCTTCCTCTTCTTTCTTGTCTTCCCACATCCCATCTTCCTTTCCATCATTTATCTCTTTCTATCCCATTATCTTTGTCTGAAATAAAAGTGATCGTTTTGATTTTTAATTATAAAACTGACACACGCAAGTCTAATTGTTAAACTTTTATGTTCCCCATGATTTTCCTTTTCCTAGTATTTTCTAACTGTTTCAAGGACATATATCAAGTTAAATGGGGGGTGTGGAACGTTATACCAGTAATGTAGATTCAATAAATCTCATATGAAATCATTTTAAATCAAGCATTTAAGAGCCAAATGGAAGAAGGAATATTGTAGGACCAGAATGTTCTGTGATGAGAAGTTACAGGGTAGAGTTGTTGAGCACTCTCTTTGCTCTCCAACAAGGCAAATATAAAAGTTCTCTTTGTTCTCAGTTGTCACTCTTTTCCTCCCACAATTCCTGGCATCTATGTGGGAGAGAAAGAAGGATTTCTGTGTTCTTGGAACTCTCTTCCCTGCATCTCTTTGCTCTTCATGTCATTTTACTCTTTCTAGAATTTCATTCAGAATAAAAAAAAGTATTAGTGCAAATGTTAAAAGACTGAGTGAGCTGCATTACTTGCACACATTCTTTTCTCCAACAACTCAAAGCCATCCTTACATAATCCCTTTTAACCTACTTCTCCTCCCCTAGGCTGAAAGCCAGGATGGTTGTGAGGGGATTGTGCAAAGGTGGCCATGGAAGGCAAGTTATTTTGTTCTTAGCTCAACTAGGAAGCACAATTTAAGAGGAGCACAGGGGTCTCACAAAACTATTTTCTTGTCCTACATCAGGTTCAGTTTAATAATGGCAGCACTTTGTTACATGAGCAGTGCTCCATTCTGACCACCCCTTGGTCGATACCATTTTAATCTCTATCTTGCCCATTTTGAAAACTGTACTTTAGCCAACCAAACTAAACATTGTTGGTAGAGATTACTGCACTGCTAGTTCTCTGGAGATTTTTACATCAGAGTATTTGTTTCTTGCTCTTTATTTTTCTTTTTTGAAACATATTATTTTTCATGTAATTAGAGACTTTTCATTGAAATGAAGTTGCATATTTCAATAAAAATTTCATACATAGCAGGTTACTGCTAACTGTACTACTCAATTCCTGGAACCAATCATTAACCTGAAGATGATTCTCCACTGGATCAACTTTTAAGTATTAGGAATTTCTATGTCTATATCTTTTGGAGTAATGTAACATTTGCCTCTAAAACTCTTACCTTCTTTCCAGGTTATTATCAATAATTGGCATTATTTCACCAAATTAATAAATCCCATTGCTCCTTTATTATTCATTTGCAAATGATCTTTCCAGAGAACATCCTGGTTTGATTTTATTAGGGAGTAAGAGGAAAACTTTTTTATTGCTATCTTTTGCTATTTCAGTGTACTCTTTAATGTTCCAACAAGGTCAGAGAGACACAATCACATGCAATTCCAAAGAAATTGGTTTTGCTTTCTCATTTAACTATCATCTCTCTTAATGTCTCTCTAATAGTTTACTCAAATTAGAAAACATTCAAGCTATAGGCACGCCTATTTTACCTTTCTTCACTTATAAAATATAAG